GCAAATATAAAATCAACATGTTTATGAAAAAACAATACTAACAAAAACAAGTTACCAATTTTGAATCATGATACCTATAACAAAACAAATACATGTATAAATGTAAATAAAGTTCTTCAAACCACCATCAATAATTTATAAACCAATATGTAAAATACAATGGATTTAAATGCCAGAGTGAGTTGCAAGCATAAAACTAAGACAGGGCAGAGCAGTTCCCATGATGAACGAAACAATATGCATTCCTCCGCTAATTCACAAATTCATCCATCCAACAATCCATCCATCATTCCAAGGTGGAATAACACACTCTCGCTGTCTACCTGACGTCTCTTTAGGTCATCTCGGAATGCTAACAAACGCACACCTGGGTCTCCCTCCCTCCCTCCTTGCCTGCCCACATCATCCATCGCCGATGGTGAAGTGTAAGGATAAAGGTTGCAAAGCAAAGAGACCATTCAAACTTATGATCTCGACTCATTGCAGGAGGACACGACGCACGGTCATTGGAGGGAACCAGGGACCAACGCCAAAGGCTAAGGAGAAGGAATGAATGAATGATCACGAAGCAAGCAAATGCAGCATGGCACAGACACAGCCCATCAATAAACAAACACACACACACACACACAACCGGGTCTGGGAGGAAGGGCCAGGCAGATATTTCATCCATCCATAAATCCATTCATCCACAAGAGGACACGTGACTGAGTGAGAGTCCAGGGAGTGCCATCCCCAAGCCCGCACCCAACCAGCCAATCCTCCTCCTCCACGGATGAGGGTCCCCAGTGCAGACGACGGTGGAGCACGAAGAAGAGAACAAGAAAAGAAAAGCGGGCGAGAGAGAGCGAGAGAGGGCCAAGGCAACGAAGCCAAAGAGCACTCACTCGTCAGAAGATAAAAAAAAGGACCAAAATCTTCCGCCATTCCGGCATTCCCTCGCCACACTGGGACCAGCGGGGGCGCCACCACCAACCCCAACCCCGTCTTCTATTTTTGCCCTCGCAACATTACTCCTGCCACACGCGGGAGGGAACCAGGGAGCACATCACACCAACACAAACGCAACGCAACCCAATCATCCAACTACAACTGCAACAACGCAGGCCCAGGCGCAGGCGCAGGCGCTGAGGAGGAGAGAAAGAAAGAACGACAGAAAGAGAGGGAGAGAGAAGCAGGAGGAGCATCGTCATCAGCAGCAGCAGCGCATCCCCTCGCCACGGCTCCGGCAACGCTTCCCCAGCTATCACAGCCATTCTGGAGGCAACCCCGCGGAAACCTGCTGCTGCGTCACCACGTCACTCTCCACGGAGGGAGGGGGGGAGAAAGAGAGCAAGCCAGCCAGCACCCCGGTCGGTAGAGTACGGCCGCACTGGCCAGCTTGGATGCGGGCAGCAGCAGCAGCATCATCGCGCAACGTGTTAGGGTGCCGCGGAGGAGTCGCAGGAGTTCTGGGGCGGGCGACGTCGCACGCCCAGGCCGCGGATGGGCTTGTGCAGGAGGCAGGACGCATGCTGCTGTTTATGCGCAGTCTAGTTTTGCGAGGGCTGTCAGGGGGTGGCTGTGCTGCGGGTTCCGCTTGCAGGCACATCGTTGCGGGTGCGAGTGGGTGGCAGCAGGCGGAAATCGGCCGGCGTCGGGCCGTCTGGTGCAGTCGGGTAGGTTTGCGGACGGGGCGCAGGGCAGTCGGCCGGGACGCAGCGCGGCGCTGGATCTGCTGTGGTTGCGGTGGTTTCGGGTATGCGCAGGAGGTGGTTTTGGCGGTGCGAGTGCGGCGGGGCGTGGTGCGTAAAATGGCCGGCTGTTGGGTAGCTCGTGGAGCGAATGACGGCAGTGGTCGAGGAAGTGTGGAGAGTGGGGTTGTTGGTGATATCGGGGCTAGCTTCTGAGAAGGGGCAGGGTATGGTGCCGGACGACGGCGATGATGACAGCCATCGGCGCTGAGTGAGACGATAGGGAGTTTGTGGGCGAGATATATATATATATATATATATATATATATAGAGAGAGAGAGAGAGAGAGAGAGAGAGAGAGAGCGCAAGAGAGCGAGAGAGCGAGAGGGAGACGCCCCCTCGCGGGCGCCATGCTTTCTTTGAACAAGCGGCCCAACGGCGACGGTAGTTGTGCGTACGTGGTGTCGTGCGTGCTGCCGGACGGCGACGATCGTCGCATCGTGAAGTCGAGGAAGTTTGATTGCAGGGGCGCGGACGATGTGGAAGCGCAGCGGAGCGCGGTCCGGTTCGCGAGGGCGACTGATACGGTGGCGGAATTCCGAGCATTCCTGTTGGATGAGGGGGAGGGAGCGGGAGCCGGAAGGGCGAGGGTGAGGTCGTACGTGTGCGTGCGCGAGAAGCAGGGGACAGGGGTTGGATATGCCGTGGCCATGTGCCGGTTGGAGAGCGGGCAGTTGCGGAGCATTTCGTTCTTGCGAGGGTCGGGCGCGGACGAGGCGGCGGATGCGAGAGGAGAGGCCGAGGGACAGGCCGTGGGAAGGGCGGTGCAGTTTTTGCGCGGCGTGGGGTTCGAGAGCTGGCGCAAGCAGGCGGGCAGGGAGGCGGTGGTGAAGGGGCGAGAGCAGGCAGCGGGGAGCGGGGGCGATTCGGGGAGGGAGCGCGGGCTGAAGCATCCGTACTCGTTCGTGGGGATAGAGCAGGGCGAGAAGGTGGACTGCAGGTGTGGCAAGAATCGGAGCCACGGGCTGATGGTGGCGTGCGAGCGTTGCGGCGTGTGGGAACACGCGGAGTGCCAGGGGTTCCGGAAGAGTGGCAAGCAGGTGGTTGCCCCGCGCCAGTGTTGTGGGGATGCGTATTTGGTGGGCCTCCCGCGGGGAGCGGGGGGCGTGGGGTGATGTGCATCGGGGGTTTATGTGAGGAGGTAGAGAGATTGTGTTGGTAGTGGAAGTCCGAGTGGTGTTGGCGCACAGGAAGCAAGGGCTTGGGAGCGTTGTGTTGTGTGAGCGGCGTCGTGATGGATATGAATGCAGGGTTGTGGTAGTGACTGACATGGCAGGTAGGCGGAGGCGGAGGAATTGCAGGGTGTTGTGGCAGGGGGGCTGGGAAGCCGAGGCGTTGGGGTTGAGGTTGAGGACAGGTTGATTGTTGGTGTGGTAGCTGATGATGATGGTGGGGCGAGTGGCAGTTGGACGGTGGAGGGCTCCGGGGTAGGAGCAGGAATGGCGGGAGATGATGTGTGACAGGAAGTGAGAGGGTTGGCGGTGTTGAGAATACTGTGGTTGAGGATGGGGGTGGAGAGGGATGTGTTTGGAACATGCAAGAAGTGCGCCTGAAGTGCAAGTTTGTCCGTATGTTGCAGATCCCGGCCGATTACATCTGCTCGGCATGTGTGCGAGCGGAGAGGGAGGAGGTGACTGTCATCGGATGTGAGGAACAGGTTAGTCTCAGGCATGTGGAACAACTGCCATGACATTTAAGCAGAGTTCTTGTTTACTGCAAGCTATATGACAGGGGGGGTAGTCGGAAGCGAGCGAAAAGCTTCGGGGGCCGGGGGAGGGTGTGTGATACGGAGGGCTCAGGTCCGGTCGGTATGGGAATATAGCAGGTGTGCAGGCGCGTTAAGTGCGGATGAATGTGGAATGTGGAATGTGGTAAGGAAAGAGGAGGACGCAGGGCTCGTGCGGCGTGTAGCGTACCGGTAGGGTCATGAAAGGGGTATGAGGAGTACGTCGGTGGGATGGAAACGTGGAAGTAGATACGTACGTCGAGGAATCGGAGGCAGGGTAGGGAGCGTCGGCAGCGCGGTTACGATTGCCGGAGTGGGGTATTGTTGCGAAGGGTGGAGCAGCAGAGGCTCTGTTGTGTGGTTGTGTAGGGGCAATGGTTAAGATGGCGTCGGGCGGCGACAAGGTAATGGCCTCCAGACGGCGACTGGCTGGCTATTATCCAATGGGGATGGGTGGGGGAATTGTGATGGTCGGGAGGGGGTAGGGGGATGGATCCGGTGGACGTGGGACGGTCGGTGGAGGATGGATGGATGGTGGGTCTGAGCGTGTGGTGGGGCGTGGGTGGGCGGTGCAGGGAAGGGATTGGAGCGCGAGCACAGAGGTCGGGCATGCAGGGATGGGGTGGAGGGAGCAAGGGGATCGAGGATCGGTGTGCTGCCTTTGCGGTTGCGAGGACAACGAGCAATTCGAGGCTCTGGTAGGCATGGGTGGCTTTGGTGTTGTGGTTGAGGAGGGGACATGGCGGTGTTGCAGCAGGGGCAGAGTAGAGCAGATGGTGGGACATATGGGGTCGGGGATGGGAGGGCGGTACACGAGAGGCAGGGAGGCAGGCAGGAGGGTGGGCATGGTTGGGGTTGGGGTTGTGTGATGAGGTGAAAAGGAAGAGTGATTGGGGAGGGTTGTTTGGTTGGGGTGCGCAGGTGAAGCCTTGTGGTTGCAGTGGGTGCTCCGTGGTGGTCCACAGCAGCTGCGCGAGCGCGGTGAACGTGGGAGGTCCGCATAAGGAGCAGCGGGTTCAGAGGTTGGGAGTGTGCTGGTTCTGCGGGAGTCGTGCGAGGGACGGTGCGGGCAGCGACACGAAGTTGGCGAAAGGGTGTCGGTCGGGGCAGGAGGCGTCGGACGGCGGAGATGGACAGGGAGGGAAGGAAGAGCAGATGGGGGCGGCGCGAAAGCGGCTGAGAAGCAACAGCGGGAGCAGCGGAGGAGGAGGGAAAGGCGAGCAGCAGGGGGTGAAGGCATTGGCGAAGAACCCGAGGAGCGAGGCGGGGAA